GTATAATAAAGACTTCTATCACAAAGAATAAACAACTAAATGAGCAGCAATAAACTTAATTTGCACATTAGATATGCTTTTCCAAGTTCCGACATTTCAGTTGAAAATAATGCTGAAGCAATGAGGCCTATAATTGAACATCCAAAACTTCTCCAGTGGGGAAACAAAAACAAATGTTGCCTGCAAACAAGATCATTTTTATAGCCTGCTGTTACCCTGCTTTTCAATAATTTTCTAAATGCCAGATTAAATAATTCATTCCTTTATGATATTCATATACCATTTTATATATGTATAGTATGTAATTTTTTTTATTTACAGTCCTAATATTGAAAAACCCTTAAAACTATTTTCCTTTCTTTTCCCTGTTTGTGCCTATAGAACATGTCCTCAAATCACATTGGGCATCTTGCAAGGATCTGGCAAGGCAGCTGCTAATTGCATTCACAGTGTCTGAATAGAAAATTGCCTCATCCTGCTGCATTAGTGAAGTAGAAATTTCAGACACACAGTGCAGATAACTTCAGAATCCTCTTAACACAGATAAGCCATATCAGCTAAAATTAAGCTGGAAAATATCTCACTCTTGTAAACTATTATCTTTTTACATGTTATCTAACAGCAACATTTCCTGCATGACTGAAGCTGATAAATAAATTCAAAGGGATATAATTGTTTTATCAGCTTTATTGAAATTTCTCATTTGTTACTCACCACTGTTATCCTTACATTGACTAGCATGTACTAACTTGGGTTAGAGAAATAAAATCATCTTTGACATTGGAATGACCATCAGATGGACATTATGTATCAGACAACGCACATACAAATATTAAGCCATCTTGATGGGCAAGAAAATGGTTAGAACAATATACACTACTTTTTCCCAGACCAAAGCTTCAAATTTTTTTTTTTTTTTTTTGGTTTTTCGAGACAGGGTTTCTCTGTGTAGCTTTGCGCCTTTCCTGGAACTCACTTGGTAGCCCAGGCTGGCCTCGAACTCACAGAGATCCGCCTGGCTCTGCCTCCCGAGTGCTGGGATTAAAGGCGTGAGCCACCACCGCCCGGCTTCAAAGCTTCAAATTTATAGGTTGTAAAATGACAAGTTTTTTTGACAATGCTACCTTCAACATCCTTGAAAGAAAGGATATGAGAGACAGCAGTCTAGTTGAGACAGGATTTTATGAAGGTTGGACAACCTAATCAAGATTAGATTCTGCAGGTCAATAACAGTTTTTTTTAAAGTGCTTATAAATATATTGTATATATGTTTTGTGAATATCTGTAACTTCTTTTCCTATGAATGGATATAATTAATTATCTGTAAATTCATATTGTATAGGGTGTTTGTCATTGGTAAACAAACAAAAACTCAAAATCCCTTAGTGTGAGATTTATACATTTTCTGAAGATCAAAATAAAAATCCAACAAATTCCATTCCTATGACTATATATAAATAAATAAGAACAACTTGATGACCACATATATTAACATTGGCTATATCAACACAGGCAGGTTTCCTGCAGGTCATTCACCCTCCAGTGTGGTCATAAACACTAGGACAGTGTATTTTCTTCACAAAGTTCTCAGATTTCCTACAGTTTTCTATTTACCTTCTTATGCAAGTCATATCTATTAGAAATCAGTGAACATAAACCCCAAGATTGGAAAGGTAAATGTATTTAAAAATCTCCATTTTCTTTAGATAATCTTTGCTGTAACTTGTTTCCTGAAGGTTGGATTCTGAAATAGTCAAAACTGTCACATTTTAGAGAAAAATAAGCCAGTACAGAAAACATTTCTGTGGACAGAGTTGCAGGAGAATATCCTTCTGATCAATCAGAATATCCTCCAGATCAGTCTCTATACTGGGCACATGCAGCTACTGTTAGTGCAATAGGACTTCAAATCTATCTCAGATTAAAACATAAATTCTTCTTGCCTTATTTATGCTAATGTTCTAAAATGGCAAGGAGTGCTCTAACTATCATCATAATAAGTTAGTGGACCACATACTCTGTAAGAAGACGAAAGTGTAGAAGGATTCTTGGGTCCATTAAATCAAAGTGAATGACTTGGAAGAAGAGTGACAGACATACTACCAGGACTGTTGGGAAACAGTGCCTGCTCAGCTTCACAGGGAAGCAGCACTCATGAAACTTCAACAATGTTGCTGCCTAAACAAGACTTTCCTGTTGACCACAACAGTCAGTACACCAACATACAGGGGCAAATTTTCACAAAGTCCCATCCCTGGATGTAGAGCTATATGCAATCAGTGGCTGGCGAAAAAGAGAAAATCAGTTTTCTCCAGGGCTAAATTCCCCTAATAGGTTATTCAATTGCAAGTGGTCAACCCATTCATGTGAACATAAGAGTAACTTTAAATAGACTCCATAGATTATTTATGACAATGATAATTATAGAATAACTCATGAATTCAATGGAAGAAATGGGGGACACAGGAAGATTCAGAGGGGTGCAAATTATATAAACAGAGTGTAATCATCTATTAAATCCTCCAAAACTTTAAGTTAAAAAATAGGAAAACCCAATAAATAGTAGTAGACAAAAGAATAAGTTTTTGTTTTCTCATATTTTCTGTATAAAGAAATGTATTCAAGAAAAAGCAGTTACTAATTTCAACTATCATTTCAAATAACTCATGAAAAATAAATACTCACCTTTATCCCTGGAAGATATTTCTGCCAACTTGTCTCAAGTGTATGTTTCTGTTGTCTTTTGCAAAAAACAAAAACAAAACTCAAAATAATCTTACATAATCATGTCCTTCATTAGGAAATAGAGTATTTGTGGATTATGGTGGACTGTTAGAAATTGCCTCAAATATAGATAAATGTATTCCCATTACAAGAACTAGAAACAAAACCTGAAGAACACAGAAACAAAATGAGTTGCCTCAAATATGTCACTGAGATCATCAATACAAGGCACATTCCAGACAATTCTAAGCAAGTCATCTTTCATTTATTGTCATTGACTATTACTGTGCAGTGAGTATCATGATACTAAGGGTTTCAAAGACCTTGGAAGAAGCCTTTCATTCAGTTCAATCTACCCAGTAGATAGATGTATCTACTGAAGCGATGTAAGGTATTTCACCAGCAAAACCATCAGCTCTATTATTGTATTTTAGAGGGCAGACAAGCTTAATTCCTCAATATTCCACATAAATTGATCCTCATAGAACACATTACTACTGTTAACTTCTATCCTTCCTACTTCCTATTTGTATAACCATAGGTGTCTCTATACATCTAACACTCAACTACAGTGGCATGACTCCTCTACTATACTTTATCATCTACTATCATTAAATGAAAATGTACACTCTATGGTGTCTTAATTTAAAATGATGCAATAAAACTCATATTTTCTCTTCCAGAACATGTTATTTCCTCAAACATAAAAAACTTCTCAAATATAAAGCACTTTTCTGTATATAAGCTCTAGAAATTTTGCTGCAGAAATACCCTGGAATTCAATAAAACCATGACATGTGTTTTGAAACACGAAGTCCATCTCTGTTTTAGAAACTAATGACAATACGATCTTAAGAAAGGAGATTTCTTTGTGTTTGTTTTTGAAAATGTGTCACACTGGTGGGATTTTTGACACATTGATTCTTATCAGTTACAGTTTTCCAGAGTATCTCAGACAATTGTCGACATTATGTCATACACTTGAGACAAGTTGGCAGAAATATCTTCCAGGGATAAAGGTGAGTATTTATTTTCCATGAGTTATTTGAAATGATAGTTGAAATTAGTAACTGCTTTTTCTTGAATACATTTCTTTATACAGAAAATATGAGAAAACAAAATCACAGAATTGAATCATTTGGGCTTAATTAACTGCACACACTGCTTTACCGGGACAGTCATTTTTATCATCCGGGAGGCAAGAAATAATAGACATGACATGGCTTCCAGTAAACACACCATTTCCATGAACCAATATTAAATATAACAAAGTAGCACTAGTAGAGAATAGACAATCCTGATACTAATTATGTCCCTTGGTGATAAATGGAGGTGCATTTGAGTTGATATTAGCTTAAAAGACTTAGTGGAATATGCAGCTTTACCTTGCCAAATCATACTAGTTTATCTATTTTCTAGGAGGAGGATACTGTAAGGCTCCTGTGGACAAGGAGACTTTGAAAAAACTGCTTATTGATGTGGCTTCACAAAACTCTATCTTATCTTAATTATGGACCAAGAGTTGTTTAAACAAATGAGCAGGTTTTAAACTGGATTGTCTTAGATACATAGCATTAAGGCTTGAATGAGAGAGAATGCCCCTGCCTCATAGACTCATATATTTAAAACTTAGTCCTTAGTTGTCAAAACTCTTTTAGAATGATTATGAGGTGTGGCTGTGTTGGAGGAGGCTTGTCAGGGGGTGAGATTTGCGGTTTTTCAAAGTCTTGAGGCATGCCCAATATGCTCTCTGGGATGTGAACTTTCAGCTGCTATCCTCACCATACCTGCCTGCCTGTTGTTATGCTCTCTGCCAGGATGGTGATGGACGCCTATTTCTCTGGAAATACGAAAATAAACCCTTCTTTCATTGCAGGTCATGTTGTTTTCTCACAGCAATAGAAAAGTAACTAAAACACCTGGAAATGTTCATACAAAAGAGGAGCATCTGAGTGACATTTAATCAAAGAAGGAGCTACACAGGAATTGTATCAAAATGTCTATGGTCCCAAACACTAAGGCATATGGGGACTTTTAATATTCTACAGCAGGTTTTAACTCTGCAGAATCACACATTGACATTGTTAACTGCCAAAGCATTCACATTTATCATAACACTACATTCCTGAGGTGCACACCCCACTAATGAATATGGAAGCAGTTGAACTAAATGTTCTACACATACAATATGTTACCAGTTTGGCATGGCAACACAAATCAAGAAGTGTAGGTGACTGTAGTATGCAACAGGCCCCCTGAAAACAAAAAAAAAGTACCTTTTACAATGAGGCTTCCGCTACTTTTCCCATTGCCAAACTGATTTGTGGCTACACAGGTATAAGACCCAGCATCGGACCTGGTCACGTTGCATATCTTAAGGCTGCCATCCTCCAAGAGAAACACTCTAAAAAGAAAATATACAATGGAAGGCTATTTGAAATGAATAAATCATATTTTCAAATATTACTTAAATTATGGATATTTAAGAATATTCATTTACTATTATAATGCTCTTAATTTGAAATCATCTTAAATCTAAACAGCATAAAAGGCATAAGATTTTATGTTGACACAGAATATTATGCTATCACTTGAATTATTACCATTTATTTCAGTGTATATTAAAATCAAATAATTGAGTGCCTGTTGTTCTAACAGTCAATTGATAGATGAATAAGAAATGAAATCATTTGTCATACATTTGGAACAGTTAACTCACTTTTGAAAACTGAACTTGAGTTTGTAAGAATGGAAGACAAACTTCACTTTTTAATCAGTGCATTCATAAAACAAGTCTTACACAGCCTTTTTAATGACCAAAAAAGAAAGTTGAATCACGAAAATATTTACCTTTGCTAGACAGTTGGAGAGACAATCTGCATGGTTCTGTGTGCAAGAGCTGTGCTTATTATGTAGCACATCATACCAAAAAGTAACAAAGTAAAGTATAAACATGAATTATTCATGTACCACTTGAAATTAAATATTCTTATACCATACAATACACAAAAGAGGACTAGCTCAGAAACCTCATCCAACTACTGAGGGATCTGGATGCAGAGATCCATGACTAGGCCCTGGGTGGATCTCTGGGAGTCCAATTAACGAGAATGAGGAGGGTTTATATGAGCGAGAATTGTTGAGACCAAGGTTGGATAAAGCACAGGGACAAATAGCCAAATGAATGGAAACACATGAACTATGAACCAATGGCTGAGGGGTCCCCACTGGATCAGGCCCTCCGAATGGATGAGACAGTTGATTGGCTTGATCTGTTTGGGAGGCATCCAGGCAGTGGGACCAGATCTTGTGCTCATTGCATGAGTTGGCTGTTTGAAACCTGGGGCCTATGCAGGATTGTTTGGCTCGGCCTGGGAGGAGGGGACTAGACCTACCTGGACTGAGTCTACCAGGTTGACTTCAGTCTGTGGGGAAGGCTTTGCCCTGGAGGAGATGGGAATGGGGGGGGGGGGCGTTGGGGGGAAGGTGAGGGGGACGGGAGGGGGGGAGAACAAGGGAATCCGTGACCGATATGTAGAACTGAATTGTATTGCAAAATAAATTAAAATAAATTAAAAAAAAAAAAAGAGGACTAGCTCATACATTCCAGGTGTTCCAGAATGGTCCCCATCAAGTTTTCTCTGACCTTAAGATGTAGTCTAAGCAAATGTCATAATTTTAATATAAATAGACAAAACCTGTAGATGAATTTCTAAACAGTCTTATTAAATAAGAAACACAGAGCCAAATACAAAGGCAATAGCCAAAGAGATCAGAGTGAATAGCCATGACTAGCCTCAGCTTACCACCTCACAGAAGCTTCCACAGAGAGAGAGCTTCCTCCTGTCTAAACTGAGCTTTTATTGCCTCCTGTTCTGCCTTCTTATTGGCTCTAAGCCCAGCCACATGACTTCCTCATCACTGCCTGTCTGTACAGACCTCAGGGTCTCTATGGTTGGTACTGGGATTAAAGGCTCATGTCACCATGCTTGGCTGTGTCCTTGACCACACAGAGACTCTGCTTGCCATGTGATTGGATTAAAGGTGTGTGCTACCACAGCCTGACTTCTGTTTATGGCTCGCTGACCTCTGATCTCCAGGCAAACTTTATTTATTAACCTACAGATAAAACATCACATTTCAGCACAAATAAAGTATCACTACAAAAACCCAAGTGTGTTCTTCCTCACCTCAACAAAACGTTTTTATGAAAGAGACAAAATGGGAACAAATAAAACATTTTCTCAAATTTAGGTTTCCAGTTCTATGGCAAACAATTTTACTTAGCAATATTTCAAAAATGCATTTTTTAAAATACTGATTAGTATTCAGAATTCTACCAAAGAAAATGGCAACAAACTAATATTAATGACTACAGTTTTCAAAAAAAGAGGGGCAAGCCTGTTTGCATGCGTGTCATAACTATTAACAATAACAAAATGTTATTTGGAGAAGTGCAAACAGATCATTGTTTCTAATATCTGTATAACACAAAATTGAGCTAATATAATTAATTATCCAATTTGAACCATAGTGAATATCAGTCAACTAGAATTTACATGAAACCAGTGTCTGATGCTGGACTACTACTGAGGATGGATTCCAGATTCCTGCTAATGAGCAGAAAAGGATTTAGGATGTCCTAAGTCATGAAATTTATGACATTACACTATTCTCCCATAGCAGATGTGCATTATATTTCTCATTTCTGAAGCATCTGGCTTAATAAATCCTGATTCACCTTCCAAATCACGATACCACATCATAGACACAGTAGCAAAGTTACTCTAGTATACAATACACAGCCCTATACTTGACTTCATGAGAAAAGGTCAAGAGTAAGAAGCAATGCAGTGCACTCTCTACTTTTATCATTCAGAGACTACTGAAAACTTTCCTCACAGCCTAAAACCAATACTGGCCAATAGAACAGTTTACATGAATGGAGACATCATGCTGCTCCTACCTAAAAATCACTAAATACTTCTCAAATACAACAAGATAAAAGAACAAGAATGTAGCCAACCATAACCAGGCTATAGTGACTAGCTGATATTTATAGATAAGGCAAAAGGTACACTATAAACTGATGGAATATTTACTTCACAATTGGCAACATTTACATAGAAACATAAAGATTCATATTTTATTACCTTGTTTTGGGACATTTGTGAAGATACAATATCAGGAAGTTTGATTGTGACATATGAGCAAAGGATTTTAAAGTAGTCTATCTATACTACACTTAGGCTTCCTTAGCATTTAAAGAACAAAGTGCATACATGTTACATATAAATTTGATTACATGACAAAAATCAGGAACAACATTCTGGTAACAAAAATGAAAATTTGAGCTGGATGGTGGTGGCACATGCCTTCCAGAACTCGGGAGGCAGAAGCAGGTGAATCTCTGTGAGTTTGAGGTCACCCTGGTCTACAAAGCAAGTTCCAGGATAGGCTCCAAAGCTACACAGAAACCATGTCTCGAAAAAACAAAAAAAAAAAAAAAATGGAAATTTAAATGAATTGTCAGCAAAGAGAGTATAATTACAAAGAAGAAAAAATAAAATAATAATAATTTTATTGACTATATGCTTTTCAAATTCAGACTTAATATTCATAGAACACAGGTCATATAATTTATTGTGGACATTTACGAACACCATGGAATTATGGGAAGGACTCCAACAACTCAAATGAAATTTAAATAGGCAGCTGAGAGTGGAGAAATATTGAAACTGATTTTTCTTCTTAGATTATTAATCCAATGTTTGCTAAATACCTGCGTAAGAAGCAGCTTGTTTGCTGTTACAATATTGATTCAAGAAATAAAGAATGTTAAATACTGAGGATAAGTCAGGCAGTGTTGGTGTTTGCCTTTAATCCCAGCACTTAGGAGACAAGAGGCAGGCATATCAGAGTTCAAAGCCAGCCCAGTCTACAAGTGGGACACAGGACACCCAGAGCTATACAGAAAAACCCTGTCTTGAAAACTTAAAAAAAAAACAAAACACCAAATTTACTTTAAAGCTTGGAATATATATTAGCTACCTGGGTTCAAATTGAGCTGTGATACTTAGAGATGAGATAAGAATCCAGTTCATTAACCTTAAACCTACTGAAATCTAGCTAATCAGAATTTGTCAAACATTTTTAAGTATTAGTGTCATTTGATCTGCTTGCCTGAGACAAAGGTAATATTAATGTCTTTCTACTACACACATACACACACACACACACACACACACACACACACACACAGAGAGAGAGAGAGAGAGAGAGAGAGAGAGAGAGAGAGAGAGAGAGAGAGAGAGAGAGAGAGAGTTCTGATCATCTAAATATTGATATTGAACCCAGGTACCTAAGTGTGGGGTGACTCATCCCTAACGGGCTTGAGGGCAAGAAGGCCCAAACAAGTAAAAAAGACACTTTCTGAGAGCCAGTCTGAGTCTGCCTAAGGGTCTTAGCAACAGCAGTTGAAACATAATCAGGAGATGACCTGGACCAATGAGAGGCAGCCATGTCACACCAGCTGATGCATATTCATCAGATCTCCCCACAGGGTGGGGTGGAGGGTATATAAGGCTTATCTCTTCTTGAATAAACTGAGCTTGTTTCGACATTCTCCCAGAGTGTGTGTGGTTTGACTCTGCGCCTACTTGGTCCCCATCCCCAAAGGGAACAAGAGCAAGGACCCTGCTACACCTAAGAAACATTCTAAGCTTTAAAGTAGATATTTTTGATTGAAAGATAATGTTTGCACAGATTTGCAAGGGAAAATGTGGTTGGACTCACTCGTATATTGAGTAGTAATAAATTTATGGCAATTAATATAGCTACCATCATAAACTTTTATGATGAATAGATTCAAGTTTATTCTAATTATTTTCAGATATGTAATGTATTACTATTAATCATATTCACCTTCAACACTGTGCTAGAAAATAACAGTGCTTTGCTCTCTAAATGACCTCTGACCTTCCCCTTCCCCTTCCCTTTCCTTTTCTCTATGTTCTGGTCATTACTCTTCCACTCTGAGTCACTCTGAGAAAAAATTTTCATAATCCACTATGGAGTGAGATCATGAAGTCTTTCCATACTTGATAATTGAAATACATACACACACACACACACACACACACACACACACACACACACACACACACACACCAGAATGGTTTTCAACAGTAAGACAGGAAATTCCTCAGTAAGTACCATTATGGGTCGATCTGAAAAAAGGATGCCAGGGCCCAAAAGTAATGTCATGTCAAAAAGATGATCCCAGTAGAGAGCTGCTTACTCTCTTCCCTGACTTCGTGATATTTGTCTGTGTTTAGGCACTTAGTAGAGTTGCTATGAAAATTAAATTCATTACATGCTAGCTATTCCTCCCATGCAAATTCA